CGTTCAACTGAGAACCGGGGCATGAGTGAAAATGTTGTATCGCTAAGATTATAACTCACACGTCCCGCCAACGACTGCACCGGCGATACCTCCCATACCCCAGCAGAACCCCAAGATTGCCCAGGCCCTGCTCTCGTTGCTCTCGTCTGCGATCGACGTCACCGATCCTCGTGCGACGCCAATGCCACCCGCAAACACACCCTGAACCAACCGGGAAATGATTGCCACTCCGAGAGATTTCGAACATCCAAAGATGAACGTAGACACCGCAGAACCAAACAATGTCACCATCAAGACCAAACGAGGGGATGTATGGCTTGCGATAGTCGCCCAAAACATCGAGGAGCTGAACTGAGAGAAGAAAAACGTCGAGACTTCCAAGTCTTAGATTAGTTGTCGTATATACAAGATGAACTCTGAGCAATCACCCACCGAGAATACCAGCCCAGAACGATGCGTCATCAACGTCGAAACCTAATATTGCGCAGGAAGACTTGTTAGCTGCACTCGGCACCAAGCAGACTCAAGCTCACTCTTGACCATAAACAGTATGAACGGAGCTGATACGTTGGCCGAAAGGAATTCGCTCAACATAACCTTTAGCCCAAATGAGCCGTGAGGATAAAAACAGAGAACAAACGGTAGAACTCACGATAGAGAGAACCACCATCGACAAAACTGGCAAGGGAGTGGCCACCGGTGGCAATACTGACGGTAGCGGATGGAATACTGTATCCCCTCCCTGCTCAAATGCTTCATCGACACAGGCGGCATCGATTATGGCTCCCTCAGCGATATTAGCGTCTCCTCGACGCTCAATAGCCATACCCATCGCAATCTCATCATAGTCGTGAACCATGAGTACAAATGAGGGTGTTCGGAAGGCAGAAACGAGAGGGAAAAGTACCCTAGCAAAATCTCTCTCCCTCGACAGGTTTAAAACCCGAACCTCTTAACAGGATCCACAGATAAGCCTGCGTCTCCTGCGTTCGTAAACTGATAAGTAAGAGCGCCATTTATGCTAATGATTCTAGCTCACGTCGGGGAAAATCAAAAGCGGGCTAGCAACAGCTTTCATGCGTCACGATGGAGGTTACCCGTTGAAGTCGAGGTATTATTGCCAGTCGGGATCCACATTGTAGGAAGCGTGGCGAATTGCGATGCTGGCAAAAGTTGCTCTGCGGAATTCTCCTTACCAAACGGCGTGGAGCGAGGAGGAGTGATAGGATTCGAAGGAAGATTAGATGGACGTTGGATGAACGTGTGAAGCCGCTTTAGAGATACGAACAAGCGGTCCTGGTAGTAGCGCTCAAATGGGGTAAAAATAGCTCACTCGGTTGAGCAGAATGCGGTGAGCCATCGGTGATCCCATGAGCTTATTTCGCTATGGGGACTACTGACCTTATCGCGGTACCGACTGATGAGCTCCCCTCGAGTCTCGGTGATAATGTGATGATACGAAGTGACCGGTCGTAAATGGTCAGCTTCTCTAAAGTCCCACTATACGTTGAAAACATTCAATAGAGAAGATAGAGGTTGCGTCCAGGGATCCAAGAAGAGAAGATCAGAGAACCAGATAGGGCTCTTAGCTTCACTAGCCAGCTGCCATGCCCAAAACGGAGGGGGGCCCTGCGAAGGTTTCGTTCTGGTGCCTACTGTATATGGTAATAAATCTCGATCAGCATTAAAGCACGACTGAGCAAAGAAATACTTACCGATTCCAACAAAGATCAACTCGCAGTCCACTCGGAAACACGGGCTAAGGGAGTCACTAATCTCGCAAGGAGACTGGCGCGTAGATACTAGCATCTCTGATATTCACGAGCACCCAGACGACCCCAGACTAGATATTACCCCTTTTCGGCACTCTAGGATAGTAAACAGAGGTTGGGCGCGTGTAGACACGAAAACGATCTTCGTATTTTCATCTATGTTCAGCCATAACGAAAATGCTCGATACATCGCCCTCTTGATTTATGCAATACGCCAGAGCACTGATATTGTATACAAACGTCAGAATTGCCGCGGAAAAAGCATCAGGCAGGTGGTGCGTACCTTGCAAGATGAGGTTTTCCTCTTGCTCCAGACTATAACCATCCAACTTCCTTCGATATCATCCTCCGACGGAACCTTCAGACTCTGACTATGCAAAGCACACTCAGGAGGGCCTCATACACGATTATCTGACAAGCTAACAATCAGGTCAAAAGACACGAAAAAATCTCAAGGCAAACGCACTTTCATTGATAGTTGGCAGTACATTTTTGCCCTTTATACCCAGAAACGTTGTCATTCTGTCGTGATCTTGATTTCTCGACCAACGTTGCCCTGAGACGCAGCAAACTAAAGCTATGCATCGAATACAACCTTCTGAGGATCCTCTTGGCTATCAGATCGACTGGTGGAATACAGAGATTGGGAGTGCGAATCGTGAAGGAAGTCAGATTTTCTTGCAGTGTTGTAGCTGGTAACCAAGAGCATTCATTTCAGAGGATAGATATAAAGTTCTTCTTTGCTTTTCCGTGGTCATACCAGGGACATGGTGGTCGTTGAGCAAGTTCAAGAAGGCCGTTGTCACGGCTCGGGCCGGAGTAGGAAATGGAATCTTGGAAGTAATACCACGTGGCTACTTCCCAGCACGTGTTCGGCATGATTTGGAGAATCGACAATCGCGTCGCGCAAGGGGTGGCAAGTTCAAGAATAAGTAAAAGATCGTGTTATTCTGTAGAATGCGTGATGGTAGTAAAGAGCGTGGGTGGTACGAGTAGTATGTAAGTACTTTTCAAAGTTCGTATTAATCTACAGCGTCCTGAAAACAATCGAGTCCGTAATAGATGTAAGATCAATGACCTCGGGGCTGTCCGAATGGGTACGTATCGTATAGACTGTGAGTCCGGTGGTGAGTGTCCGTCAAGTAAATTTACAATAACAAATAGATTCTTGAAGTCAATGAACTCTCGAGTTCAAGTCCATGGTGTACGGCGGCGGCGTTAAAGACTTCAAAAAGCATCCGCCAATCCAGGAACACTAACCCTCCTCCTCGCAATGGGCCTAATCGTCCCCTCCGAGTCCCTACTCACACAACTCGTACTCCAAAACCCATGTGCCTCGTTCTTCGCCGTACCAGCGTTGTTAAGGGTCGGCGAAAACGTAATCTGCACGGATACTGTCGACAACGATGTCGTCGATCCGTTGTTCTGGCCTGCAAGGTAAGGGTAGCATGGGCTACGCGTGGATGGGAAAGCAACCGTACATTTCTGGGATGAGGAACCACAGAAGAACGGTATACCGGGAGAGAGGATGCTTCGTTTCTGAGGAATCGGGATAGGTCGTAATTTGATTGTCGCATCCGGGTCAGTGACAGTGAGAAGCGCCGGTGGGGGAAGAGTTGAGATATCAGCGTCAGGGTCGAGGGAATCCATGAGGGCTTGGGATAGATCAAGCTCAAGCGCCGGGATCGTAGGGACTGTGGGGAGTTTGATGGGGCTGGGCTGGGGTGGAGCATCGAAGTAAGAATCACAAGATGCCTCCCTCACGGTTGACAGAGGTCGAGGAGTCAAGTCGGTCTCGTCCTCGAGCTCGATATCTAAATCTTGGTCTGGCTGAGTGGAGGCAACCGAGGAAGAGTCTGAGTCCGAGTCTTCATATACACTTGTCTCGGAAACGAACGTAGAGTACCCAGCACGGTGAAGTTTCGTCCCACCGGTGTAGGGTTTACCGACGCAGTCATCGTCGGCGGAGTCTGAGTCTAAAGTTACCGGTGGATGAGTGAATTGTAGAGAAGTAAAATAAACGAAGAATGGCGGCCTTACCTTTAGACTGTGCCTTGGGGATGGGTAACGTTACCGGGATAGGTTTGTCTGGCTGAGTTTGAGGATCTTTCTTTCGTTTGAAAGACAAGCCCCTCTTGATGCCAGCAGCAGCCTTCCCGAGCGACGACCGTCTTTGAGGGGGGAAGTACGAGCCTGTCGGAGACTTCTGGCCTGATCGAAGGGGTGGTGTGATAATACTACTTGGTCGGAGCTGGATTGATAGAGTAGACTGGCGCTTTTCCTTGCGAGGAGTCGTGGACTCTGTTGAGACGGAGGTATTCCTAGTCAAGCCCTGCATGGCTTGACCCAGAGAGGTATAGCTCTACATAGACAAATTTCTCAGTTCGTACAACCGTTCCTAAATTGCACCATCCAAAGAGAAGCTCACCTGCTCTGTTCGACTAGGCCTTCTCCTCCACCTCAAACCGTCCAGATCGCTAAACTCGAACTTGACATTGCTAAACTTCGACGCCAATTCCCGAGATTTTTCCTTGATGATGTTGAAGGCCTCTCGGTCATCAGTGTCGTTGTTGAACGAAGTATAGAGAGACAGTGGTTCGGCCATGAGGCACGGGAATTAGTGTCGTCGTTAAGGAGAGAGAGGGAGAGAGAGGGAGAGAAGCAGCAAAAGAAAACAAATTGAAGATGAAAAACGAGTCCGGAAAGCAGATATGTCGTGTATGTATGCTTACGGTCCTCGCCCTTTACGGTGGGATCGCTATCGCATGGAAGGGAGGCAAGGTCGGCGAGAACGTGCGCCTCGATAGACACGGGGAGAAGGAGGACGGGATTTGGGCGACGATGGGTTCTCATACGGGATTTTTATCTTAGAGCCGTGGCCTGTGAGCGTCGGTCGCAGATGACGCAGGCACGGCCCCGAGTCCCAACTTCCCGTAACTGGGTACCTCCACGCGTCTATCTGCGTCTAAATCCGTGGCGAATTGATGGTTCCTGAGAGTAGACTCCACGATATCTGGAGATCCAATTCAGTTTTGTTCTCATATGTTTGTAGGTGGGGTAGAAACGTATGGTCGTCATGGGTATATGTGGGTCGGTCCAAGCCATCCCGGGAAAAACAATGGGCCCGCTGAATGCTGCCATGCAATTGAGAGGGATGTCGCATCCGACAGCAAGTTCAAGTATGAAATGTCCCTGTCGGAGATCAATCCAAAAGCCCTACAAAAACGTTGACCCCTACCCGGATTGAACGGATGACCTTCTGGATGGGAGAACTTCAACAGGTTATGGGCCCCACTGGAATCAGACGCTCTACCGCTGAGCTAAGGAATCAGTTATCGAGTGACACCAGAGGAATATGAGATTGCCTTTGGGTAAGCCTGGGGAGTCTGAGGGCCATGACATTTCCCGAGAGTCATTGATCGGAGGCAACGAGACAGATGCCCACTGCGCTCGAAGACGGCCAAGCTCAAGGAAAAGTTCCAAGATGCCAGTGCTATACCGTCAAGGAGCACCACACCGAACGCTCTAGATCATGGAGCGATGCAAACCCCGAATCGAAGCGAGCGGCGTGAGAGATGGTACTCCACCTAGAGTTGAATCCTGGTCTGCGGACATGACTCACCGCTGGCAAAATTCTACCATAAAAAATAACTTGGAACTTGGCGTGTTTGCAAACCACTGATTTTGACGCCAAAATGGTTCGACCCGGGCTCGAACCAGGGGCCTTCTGTGATAGGTGAATCGTTTGGACGTTTCATGTGAGACAGATGCGATAACCAACTTCGCCATCGAACCCATATATTCGGAGCAAGCTGGGAGCTGACGGGGATCGCTGAGCTCGGACCGCTATTTCACACTACCCAGTAATAAACGACCCAAATAATAAAGAAAACCCCGACCAGCTTGGAAGCACGCCCCATCCACACTATCGCAACACAAATCAGCCATTTGGTTTTGTATTCTTTCGGGTTGGTTTCACAGGGTTGTTGACCGTACCGCATGAACTTGACCGGTTTACATATACTGTCAGAACCTGCGTGCGGGATCGAAAAAAAAAACTGGGATCACTTACAACGCGGGGTTCATCCAACCATTTCCAGATCTCTGACGCCAACTCATACTGTTCTTTCGCCAGTTCCCATTCTCCTAACGAGTATAAGGTTTCTGCAAGAAGGATCGACGCGTAAAGGGTTTTCGCGTGGTCGGGTATGGCGTCTTTGTGTGATTTGGGGTTTTAGTTGGCCTTTCCTTTCCTTGTTCTATTGCGACCCATCAGATTGGAGCTATCTTGATTCTTCAGTGAGACTGAGTTTTAGAGACTGACATAAAATCGTGCGAGAGTAAGCGTACCTTTGGGCCTTTTGGGTGAACGATCTGGGGAGTAAGGAGGAATGAAAAGCTTCCGCAGCCAGCGTCTGCTTTTTATTAACAGGAAACGCCCATCGAATCACACATGAGTAAAACTGACGAGACCAATCAGGTTAGCTTTTTGCTCGCTTTACCTTTGGACCTTCGTTTGATCTCCCCTGAGCCCGGATGTTCCGCACTCGTCATTCCCATAGTTCCTTCCTTGATTTCCTTCAGTTCCTTTAGTCTTGTTTTGAATACAAACCCCCCGCTTGAGAGTAACCAAGGACAAAACCCCGGCAGCATCTCAACTACACTTTCACAAGGAAATCCGCCAGCCCAGCCTGACTTTGTATTGTGCTTCTCCGGCTCGAGGAAGCCGAAGGCTTTGACTTTCCGTATTATCAGATAATCAGAGGGCGGATACTATACTCATGTCCAGGTTTCCCAATGCTGACTAAGAAGCCCAGCTTTGACCGAATACGGGTAACGGGAGTCAGTACTTATCGCTGCCTCAATCTCCGAACTCAGCGAGAACGGGGTGGCGTCTGAGCAGCATGAATCCTTCCTCGGGGGCCGGCGGAAAGTACTGACAAAGTTCCTCGGTACGACGGATAGGAAATCACCGCCCAGCACAGAAGCAGAGATCATGAGGTCGTCCAGACTTCCAACAAATTAAAACAACTCACCGGGCATTCTACAACCTCCATTTCTTGATTCGCACCGGTACATAGGATATATCTGTAACGGAGCTTTGCCGAACATTTTGAACTGGTTTTCCTGTTCGCAGTTAGCAAGGGATACTTTCATCACTTTGGCTGAATCGGGAACTCCGAGGGTTGCTTCAGGATTGAGGAAAAAGGGTCTCAAATGCGCTCTTAGTAGGCCACATCTTGTTCTCCGTAAATAAACCCGAGTCGTTCGATGTTCTACCGCACAAACGGCCGATCGGGGATATTCGAGGCTTGTATTCGAGAAAGGAGAAGCAAAGAGATGATAACCCGGCATATTAGTTGTAGGCGAAGCAAAGGATGGTAGTGACAATGGCATCGTTCAGAGTAATGAGAAGCTACGACGGACGCGCGTCATAGCGGAGTTTGAGTTTCTCACCGGGAAAAGCCGATATCGGCAAGGCTGTGGACGCATATGGGTGTCGGATATGAGAGTCCACGAGTACCCTCAAACTCAGATCATAGAAAGTTAACCTTTCAACACCTTTTTCAAAGCTCTGTTTCTGGGCTGAAATGAGTCGGTAGCGAAAGGGTCAAATTTGATCAAGTGAGATCGAGATATTTCAATACCACTAGTAGTACTAAAACTCGGAATCACCTCGGTTTCTACCCGAAAGATCATAGTGTATAATGTTTCACATGGAACTATTCGAGCATATGCAAACCTCCGAAGAAATTATGGATGTAATTCAGATTCCCTGCTGCAAATTAAGTCAAACATGAGCATGCTGCATCTGTCACTGGGAACGACCACGCAGGACGACTGACCTTTCAGAGGGCCTTGCTGCCAGCACCGCGGCTGCTGCAGCACTCGACCATCTTTCCAGTATCGACAGCGTTATCTGCGGGTCCTCCATAGCCCATGCACTGCTGAACAAGCTCGTTGAAGTATGCCTTGTGGTTGACAGCGGCGCAGCAGTCCTTGGTAACCTGGACGTTGGTTCCACCAGAGCCGTCCTTGTTGTTGGTACATATTTCGGGGCCGCCTAGAGAAAAGAGTTGAAGTAAGGGTACAACGATATATGGCGTTGAGGCCGTATGATGAAGAACGAACCTGCGAGGACAGAGCCAGCAAGAGAAGCAACGATGGCGAGAATGGTAAACGAGGTACGCATAGTGTTGAGATTCAACTGAGTTGCCTGAGTGCTGATGATGGTACTGTTGCTGGAGAGATGGTGGGTTTTGTCGGGGCTTATATACCCTAGAAGACAGTACATACGTGGTAAAGGCCTGCCGTTGTCTGAAGATCTAGCCCAAACGGATACTCTACAGGGGGTAGAGACGAGCAGGTTCGCCAAGTTTCAAAACTCTACGAGATTGGAGTCCTCTTGATTCAGCACCACTGACAATAACTGAAGGGATGTTTCGGGTAGTAGACGGTGGCCTAATACATTGATTCCCGAGTGTTTCGAGAGACAAGGCAAGCGAAGACGGGGCCGTGGAGCTTGTGACTGCGGAACTCAACCGAGCCCAACGATCTATATCACAAGTCTACGCATCCCGCGGAAGCAAACTTCAATGCCGACCGTTCGCGAGAAATTTTCGCGGCTCGGAATTTTGTATGGGTTTGTATATGCTTACCGATCTTCCGGCGGGAAAAGGCAGAGTTCTCAAGTTTTGGCGGATTCCCAAGCAGCGGCGCTCGTCCGCTGACGCGCCTTGAAGCATCTCCCTGAATGCTCTCCCTGATCAATGCCAGGAATCTATGCGTCGGTGGGACTCAGTGCAGCGTTAGTACTAGAAAGTCATTTGACGTGACCAGTCTTGAACTCTTTAGTTTAGCAATGCCTTGAAATGATGTACAGTTGAATAAAAATGCTAAGTTTTTGGTTGCGCCGCAGGTGAGTGGATGGGTGAAAGGCCACAGTTCGAACGGAAAATCGCCCAATTGGACCCCCGTTTACTAATGAGCTCAGTGATCGTAATGAGAAGGAATAATGATTAACTGTCGTGCTCGAGACGGAAACAGAATACTCTACTCCATAGTAGTCGAGCTATCTTACAATCTCGTCAAGTGTTTACTTATAAGTACAAGAGTACAGGGGGACGAATTATCATCGATAGGGAGACCTAATACACGATCCTAAACACGAGGGACGTACGTCAGCACCAGCATTCATTCGAGCGAGACCGAAGGAGTCATTACCAACCTGGGGCTCAATCGCTTCCAGTACCACGGCTGTTGCAGCACTCGACCATCTTTCCTGTATCGACGGCATTGTCTATTAGACCTCCATAGCCCATGAATCTCTTCTCGAGCTCGTTGAAATACGCCTTGTGGTCTACAGCGGCGCAGCAATCCTTCGTAACTAATCAATGGGCGGAGGATTCCAGTCTGTTCCGATAAAATGTAAGAGTCGGGCGGAAATGGACTTTATTTGTCTAGCTGACCAGCCTGCAGCGGGATGCTAGTAGTATCATCCATTTTGTCGATATTTCTAGCTGTTCTCTTCTATATAGCTGACAATACTTTCGGTTTACTTCGAAAATAATGGGGTGTTTCACGAGCGACAAAGATTGGCATTGGGCCCTATCGATGTCAAGGGGTAGTATCAGGTATGCTTTTGACCCTGATATTCGTCCGTTGTTTCTGGAAATGGTATGCAGCAGTACTGCTACTGGCAGCCCATAGCTTGGGTCATAGTTTCGTGAAGTTGTACCAAAGTGGGTACGCTCACAAAGGCCCCAAACTCTGGGGTCAAAATGCGTGGCTAGGCGTAAAATCTGGCGGCGCTTATGGCTGTGGCGTACTCAGACGATGTTCAGATTCTACAGTTTGGGCTATGTTCCCCTCGAATATCTAGCCGAGCTGCTGAGACGTAGGAAAATGATAATGACAATTATCGTGCTCGAAGCAAAATAGATGAAAGTACTCCAATGTCGAACTATCTTATAATTACGTAGCACTTTTACTTGTTCAAAGAGTACAAATGGCCATTGATACTGATCGGGAGCCCTTCACGGGGACACTCAACAAGAGGAGAGTACGTCCGCATCGGCGTATACTATCCATAATAACACGAATGAGTAACTACTCACTTCGGGCTTAGAGAGCCTTGCTACCAGCACCGCGACTGCTGCAGCACTCGACCATCTTCCCGGTGCTGAAGTAAGCCTTATGATTGACAGTGGCATAACAGTTATTGGTGACCTGAACATTGGTTCCACCGGATCCGTCTTTGTTAGTGCAGATTTGGGGTACACCTGGCGTTCGAGACGGTGTTCAGCGCGTTTCAAGAGTGTAAAGAGAGC